TCTTGTTATCATGATTATCTCCTGTTATCACTATCTCTTGTTACAGCTTTGTTGTCAGCTATTACTATTGTTATTACAATTATTATTATTACAATTATCACTACCATTATTATTATTACTATTATTATTACCATCAAATTACAGCGCGCTATTTATTAACTTCTGACATCCCTTCGAGACGGTCCTAGCAAATCCACTTGGCGCGGGGTCAAAAATTAATCCCATCTTCATTCCTCGCGCATGCTTTCCTAGTGTCAAAAAACAATTTAAAAAAAAAGAAAACTAAAATCAATCAGGTGCCACACCTGCCTCTTTTGAGTATATGTATCTCAGCCAGCCCCTCGACCCTTCCTCATAACTCATTCCCACGAAATCACTACCAGAACTGACAAGAACCGCAAAAACCGATTATAATAATAGGGTTGCGATGTGCCGTACAGCTCAATGCCCTCACTCATTCCCAGCGCAGCACTCTTACCGCACAAGGACGTTACCGGTGACCTATTACTTCATCCAGAAATCGAGTAAATGCTGACATTTGAAAAGAAAAATGAACCCACACGAAGGCTAATCACTGTCCATTTTCATAAACCACATCAAATTTTGATCAAATGAACTAACATAACTGTCATTTTTACAAAAATCCATCAAAAAATAACGCGTCAAGGCTGTGCCAGTTGATTGGTGTGAAAAAATCCCATCACGAGATATCAATTCACCCAAATTCCAGGCCTTTTATTTAAAATGTATTCATTTTCATGAAAAAAAAAAACATCAGAATTTAAAAAATTAGGCAGTTCTAACGAGGAAGTAAAGGACTGTGCCAGTGATCAAACGTGATGTAACGCACATACATCGAACAGGCGGTGGGTATTAAATGAAGATTTGTAGTTCAAGATCGAAGGAGCCTGGCATAGCTGAGAGCATTCAGCAGCACTGTTTTGACGGTCCAACATGAGACCCGCAAACGCTAAGTATTCATATTAAAATAAAAAATATACCATAGTGAAATGCTCTGAGGAGAAAAAAAAAATTCAAGAAACTGATAGGCATGGGTTAAGGGAAGGAAAAAAAAGCCGGGTTCTTCTTCTATGTTATTATAAAGAACCGCAAAAATGTCGAAGGAAAGAAAAATGCCAAGAATTAGGTCAGGGAGCCTAAAATTATGAAGCCCATAAAATCGCCCGGAACGACATTAGACTCTTCCAAAGGTCCTGATACAATTTAATTGAAAAGGCGTAAAATAAAAAGGGGACAAAGCGTAAAATAAGATAATCATTGCTCAATTTTGTTAAAAATTCGAAAAAATGGGGCTCACTCGCTAAAAATTTTACGATTTTTGAAAAAATTGAGTTTGAGTAAGAAAAGCAAAAATCCTTCTGATCAGGAAGTGGGGGAGAGAGGGTGCTGGGATTGGAAGAGGGGAAATGGAGAGAGTATCAGAATTAAAGATGCATCTTTTTCATTTTCGTAATAGTTTATTAAAAACAAATTAAAAAACCCTTCCGTATTTGCTATCACTGAGATGCGGGGAGCACTCGGGAAATATCCCGAGTAATAGCAAATGCCAACAGCAACCACTCGCTGGTAAGGCTGTCGATGACTCCCCCTTTCGAGGGTTGCTTACAAGCAAGCTGATGGTGAAATGGCTTATCATTTCGGGATATTCCAGCAGGGAATATTCACCGTAAATAAAAACAGAGAGATGGAAAGAGGCTGATACAGTCATCGTGCTCACCAATCTTTCTATTTTTTAACAATATAATAAGTAACGACCATTAGAACGCCGAATCATAAGTGGACGGTCTATGTGAAGCGGCCGGAGTGGCCAAACTGATAAATAATTTGCGGCCCTCGGTAGGCTGAATCGTAATTTCTGAACTAAGTGCCAGTCCGAATCGTGGAAGATATAGAACGGTCGTAAACCATAAATTTTAATGTAGGGTGGAATTAGTTAATAGATAATGATGGGAAAGATAGTAGAGCTGTTAATGTAGTAACTCTTTATAACAATAGCGAAATTTTGAGAAAATGGCTTGCTGTCAACTGCGTCTGAATCAATCTGTCCAAGGTAAATTCTCGCTGCCTCCACGATTGGTTCAGCACTTTTAAGCTCATTCTTCGATCTTAAGAGTATGATATTCACGGTATTTTACCGCAAAATATGGCCAATTCTTCACAGGAATGGGGGAGGAGGAACTCTCAAAAGCCATATTATTCGCCACAGGCCGAATGCAATACCACGATATTATCTCGGTGTGCTGGTTAATCCGGATAATCCTGTTTCTTTGCCGTTCTGGTAACTAGAGCCTGACCTGGATCAAAAATGCATAGCCAAAAACGCACTCTCTCGCCTCTTTGGGAGGAAAATCTTCAAGAATTATCTCTTCCGCTTCGCCACTCGAATCTTTTTCGTTCTTAATAACTAAGGTCATAAAGCAAACAACTGTCTAAGCCAAAAAATACACAAATCATCATTTTTCCCTCAATCCTTTTTTTCCCTTCATAAGACGGTACTATCTGAAGAAAATGCGGGGAGGGAGGGGGATTGGGTGAATCTCCTTTTGTGGTTGTATAAACTATACAGTCGAATGCTTTCAGCCCCTAACCACACACAACCACA